CTATACGGGATGTGACTAGAGCATGGACTACCGTGGCCAAGTCAGACTTCCCAAGGTATGGGCGCAGCTGGCCCACTAGTTTTAATTGTGCAAATGCTCCCCTGGTCACCGCTGAAACTTGGGGCTCCAGATAGATAGATAGATAGTCCAATTTCCTATAATCAATCAATTGGGATCAATACTCACATTCCACTCGATCCCCCCAATGGCGATCCCAGCGGCTGCCCCAGTCCCGGCCAGCCCCACAAAATGGCTGCTGCCGATGTTGCTGGCAAAGAGGGAGGCCCCGATCTGGAGGATATCAGAAAGCGAGCAATTCATTAAGCAATCGATTTGACAGTCGATCAATTTATTTACTTCATTTTTACCCTGCCTTTCTCACCCGAGGGGACTCAAGGCAGCTTACAGCTCTGGCAAGAATTCAATGCCAGTAAAAACATATCCCAGAATTAAAACAATTAACAGTTTTATTAATTCGTCAATCGAGCCATCCATTGATCAATTAAACATCAGGAAACCATGTGCCCCAATCAGGGAAGAGAGGAGGGAGAGGCAAAGCTATGAAGTGCCTTTCTTGGAAAATTTGCTCAATGTAATTGATTGATTGATCGATGGATCAGTAAATTGATTGATTGATTGATTGATCAGTAAATCAATAAAGCCACTCACCGGCCACCAGACCATGTTGCGCCCAGCCAGGAAAAAGCCCCCAACAGTCCCACGGTTCGTTGAATACATGGCCTAAAATCAGAGGGGGGAAAAAACCAGTTAAAATATCAATTATTAAAACGTCCACTTAAAAATACGCAAATTCAAAATCATAATCCAAGGTCAATGCATTGTTGGTCACATAAAATCACTCTCATTCATTAATGGAAGGTTTTGATTAAGATAGAAAAACAGATAGATAGAGAAGGAAAGATATCAGATAGATAGATAGATAGATAGATAGATAGATAGAGAGATAGAGATAGAGATAGAGATAGATAGATAGATAGATAGATAGATAGATAGATAGATAGATAGATAGATAGATAGATAGATAGAGATAGAAAAATATTTATAGAACTGTAGATAGAAAAAGAGAGAAAAGATATTAGGTAGACAGATGGATAGATATTGATAGATAGAATTGAAGACAGAATAATAGGTAGAATTATAAATAGATAACGATTGATGTATGATAGGTAGATATTTATGAATGATAGAACTGCAGAGAGAAACAAAGAGAAAGATATTAGATAAATAAATATTAAAAGATAGATCAATAGGTAGTGAACATGACAAATGAGACAACTCAATTTAGAAAAACAGTCAGTTGCTTTATGGTTGCCTAACTTGATTGATTGATTGATTGATTGATTGAGTGGTTAAAGTGGATAGTGGAGGCTGTTATGTCACAAGTCCAGAGAATACGGCCCATAGAACAGTGGTTCTCAACCTGGGGGTCGGGACCCCTTCGGGGGTCGCGAGGGAGTGTCAGAGGGGTCGCCAGAGACCATCAGAAAAGACAGTATTTTCTGTTGGTCATGGGGATTCTGTGTGGGAAGTTTGGTCCAATTCAATTATTGGTGGGGTTCAGAATGCTCTTTGAGTGTAGGTGTACTATAAAGCCCAGCAACTACAACTCCCAAATGTCAAGGTCTATTTTCCCCAAACTCCATCAGTGTTCACATTTGGACATATTGAGTATTCATGTCAACTGTGATCCAGATCCATCATTGTTTGAGTCCACAGTGCTCTCTGGATGTAAGTGAACTACAACTCCAAACTCAAGGTCAATGCCCACCAAACCCTTTCAGTGTTTTCTATTGGCCATGGCAGTTTTGTGTACCAAGTTTGGTTCAATTCCATCGTTGCTGGAGTTCAGAATGCTCTTTGATTGTAGGTGAACTATAAATTCCA